GGTGCCCTGCGGGGCGAGGAGCACGGGGCCCGCTCTGCTCTGGCTGCCAGCGGGACGCCGGGAGCAGCAGGGAGTGCAGCTGGGCCTCCATCAGCTACTGCTTAGATGCTGGAAGGAGCAAACAGGAAAGGGTCTTTTTGCCTCAAACTTCCCTGCACAAACTTCATCTGACCTAATTCTGAGCATCTTCAGTTACTGCTGGAGCTGCAGTAAACACCCACGAGTTAGCTTGAACCTAACTGGCTTTGGCACCACGGGGAGCTGAAAGCGAAATTCACTGCCAAAGAGCCAGGATGTTTGGAAATGGATCTGCGCAGTCCCGCAGCCCCCCGGCCAGCTGGCCCCCAGGCGCCGATGCCAGGGCCGGCCCCGAGTCCCAGGCAGCCCCGCTGGCAGCCAGCCCTGCTGCGGGACACCGGCCCCGCTACCAGCTACAGGAGCTGGCAGGCGCGCTCCGGATCCCGGTCCTGCCAGCAATGCGCCACAGCTTCCTCGGAATCAAACCATCTCCCCATGGCATCTCGGCTTCAGCCATCGAGCAGGTTTTTTTCCGCTGGTGTTCCTCTGCCCAGCTCCTGCGCTGCCCCATCCTTTGAAATAGCTTAGAGCACAGAGGGACGAACAGTGCTACCGAGTGTGGGCATTTAAGGCTGGCTTTAAAAAGCTGGAGACCGTTTCTGATGTAAGCAAATGGACCTTCCTTGAAGGAGTAAGTCAAAAGTCCGGTTGCGTCGGTGCAACAGGAACAAAAATACCCAGGCAAAGACCTTCTTTTAACCTAGTTGGTGCCTGCTGATTGGGCTTGAACTTGCTTGCTGCATCACGTTAATATTCCTCCCCTCTTTGTTCTGTCTTTATGAAGAAATACCGTAATGAATTCAACACCAACGTCGCCATGGCTGAGATATACAAATACGCCAAGAGATATCGCTCCCAGGTAAGTGGCCCCAGCGGCACTCGGGCCCCAGCGTGCCCACGGAGGGACAGCAAGCACTGCGTCGTAACCAAGCGGTCAGACGCCTGCAGCCGGTCCCACGGGACAGGGATTACCATCTCTCGCATAATCCCACGCACGTCTGTAGTTCATGAGCACGCAGAGGCACCTGCTCCCCGTCCCTTGGCTGAGTTTAACAGTGTTTGGCAGGGCCAGACTGGAGCGGGGCTGCCCGACACGCAGACCCGCAAATGCTTTCAGGAGGGCAGAGCACACCAATCCAGCCCATATCCAAAATAACTTCCCACGCGCCGCCCCCAGCTGAGGCGCTGGCCCCGGCTGGCTCCTGACCCCCCCGCACCCCCGTGCTGCGGGCTAGCTCTGCGCCACGAGCTTTATTTTTACAATGGGTTCTGGTTGCGTTCCCCTCCTCTCCCACCCCCGCCCAGGGACGCGGCTGCACCCTGGA